GGACACGAACTACAACTTTCTCCTTGATGCACCCACCACATCTACTACCTAGCACAGCACCTGTGACATGTTTTTGTACTTATTTATCAGTGTTTCTCTTGTCATGCTAGTCCATGAACTCCATGAAGGCAATTATCACACCTTCTCCATCCTGGTATCCTCAAGCATAGCACAGTGCCTAGTACAAAGAAGGTGCTTCAGAAAAGGCTGATGAATTATAAATGAACACAGAGAAAACCATCAAAGGCAGGGAAAGAAGACATCAGTGTAGATCAGAATAGTTCTAAAAGTCAAGACAGCCTTGGGCTAAAACCTTAAGTACAGGTACATTTAGAAACACACAGAAGGAAAGGATAGGCATTCTAGGCAGACAGGACAGCACCAACAAAGACCTGGCAGTAACCAGAAACATGGTGCACGGTATGTTAGAACCAGAAAGTTTTAAACATGACTTAGTCCAACAGTTCAATTCTCATGGGGATGTTGTAAACATTCTACTAAAAAAAAAACCACGTACTACTAAGCAGAGGAGCTGGCATATCACAGACATTCACTAACTGGTAGCTAGTATTACTATTACTCAAAAACAATAATTGTCAAACACTTAGTAGGAGCCTGTTGTATGCAAGGCAGCATGCTGAGGGAAGGAACTACAACAATGAGCAAGACAGATCTGGACTCTGCTCTCTCATTTAGCTAAGAGTCTAGTGGGGAAGACAGACAAAATAATCCTTGGTAGGCCTGGGCTAGGGGAAGTATGGGGGGGTGTGGGGGGCTGAAGGAACCAAGAGTAGGGTCATCCAATCAGTGGGCAGTAAGAAAGAGCTCCCTGATTATCAAAGTGTGTCTTGAGAAACCCGAGGGGTTCTGAGTCCCCTCAAGGACCCCAAGGCTTCAAAGCGAGATTTTGCTTGAATAAAAGGTATTGTGGCTAAATAAAGGTTTAAAAACCACCAATCTAGTTCAATCTCCTCTTTTAACAAGAATAAAATAGGGCCCATATGAGGTAAATTACACACTTGAGACAACAAATACTTCAAGTTAGTTGTAGACTGGGATACTTGCTTTGAACTTGAGCCGGAAACTACTCACTGATCTGCATGATATCACATCATTCTGGAAGATGAACAAGCACTGGGGGCAGACGCATCCAGAATTCACAGGCACTGGCCAGGCAGGCCGGCTGGCCCTGATTGGATGTTGACATGCTTTTTCTACCCTAGGTCCCAAGCCAGCTCTCTCTGCCAAAATGATGCCTCCAATTCCTCTCTGAGGTTGGCCAGCCTCACCTTCCAGGAGGAACTCACTGGCTCCAGGAGTAGGTCTGCTTCTGGGCCACCTATCTCGTAACCATGCTTTATCCTACTAACATCCTCCAGCACCACGTGGTTTGGCAAGTTGAGAACAAGAACTGAGTTTAACCAGTTATCACAGCCTGTTTAATACCTAGCCTGAGCTGGCTAGACTCATCATCTCTCATCTCCCTAAATACCATTAAGCTAATCACTCTTCCCATGGGGGGTAAGGGGGGGGTCCAGCAGAATCAAATTATCATTAAATTAAAGGACCTGTATAGAAAAACCAATATTCCTTTGGTTAATCCTTACTTTTACATCTCTCAGGAATGAAATGCTACTTCGTGTTTTGGAGATGAAACTTCTGTATATAAAGAAAGGGGTAGTTTACTTGTTTAGATAAGTCTGCAGTTTACGTCTTCAAACTGAGGGGAAACAAATACTTTGGAATCTGGAAAAAAAATGGGTTTAAATCTTAGTGATACCACTTAGTAGTTGCAAGATCCTGGGCATCCTCATAATACTCTGAACCTCAACTTTCTTGATCATAAATAGGGAATACTAATAAAATTACTGTCACAAATCAGAGACTCAAAATACTCTTTGGAATCACAGTCACTTATGAAATGTACTGTATCAACTTTCACATGATATCATAAGACCATACAGTTTTAAATTACCTATCCCCAGAGCATAAAGAATGGAGAAATGGAACCAAGGTGCTCTGTATAGCATGGGCTAAGCTCAGGATAGTACAGGCGGACCTGGGTTCGAATCTGCACCTCCTAGCTCACCAACTGTGGAATCCTAGGAAAGTTACACCAATCTTTTTAGCCTCAGTTTCCTCATGTATAAAATGCAATTAATACCACCTAACTCACAGGCCTGCTATTAGTAATGAATGAGATAATATAAGTAAAGGACTTTAAACAGAGGCTGGTTTATGGTAAGAACTCAATAAACAGTAACCTTTTCCACCAGTAGCTCATTTCCTAAACCCTCTTTTCCATACACCTCTGCAACACAAGAGAAACACTTAGCAAAGCCTAAATTACCTCAATTACTAGAGAAACAAATAATGAAAAGACAAAAGGGGAAAGAAATGAATGAACTGCTGGCTGCTATTCCAACTTATCATACTAATGGCATCTGATATTGGAAAACACAGGTACAATATCCTGAAGAACAAAACCACAGCATGTACAACCTTCCCAAAGAAGTGGCACAGAGCACCAACTGCAGTTTAGTTAGGCTATCCATTACCATTATCTGGGCCCCACCGTAGTCTCTCTACCAAATAGAAAGGGCTACAGGGAGACAACTGTGACACCACATGTAAGTCACTACTTCTTTGTAAACCGAACCTTTATTTTTTCAGCTCAAAACCCATCTCTAACACAAAGATTTCACTGACTCCCCCTAGCAGACTCAAGTGCTTGCCCCATTGAATTTTTTACACACTTCCATTATAACAATTATCTAGCACTACAGAGCTATTTGCATGTCTCTTCCCTACACTCTAAGTTGGTAAAGATCCTGTCTTATCTTTGAATTGCCAGTGCATAACACACAGTAGACCTCATAATTACAAATTATAAGGATGGATTTCACCTTTTTCTTCACTAGTTAAGGCTGCTAAGCAACAGCTGGGTAGACTTTAGTATTACATAAACTAAGGTCTGCCAGAGCAGACCTCCGAGTTTTTGTTTGTTTAGGGGAAGGGAGCTTGAAGGGATAACTGGCTGTTCCTACTTCTCAGAGTTATTTCCTCAAACACACAAAAGATACAACCAGTCCATACTGAATTTCCAGACCACAGATTATATTCTTTCTCAGTAAATAAAACAAGTAACAGAAGTTTCTGGGACAGATGCTAGTGGGTTATATATAAAGCTGACCTCTAGGCATGACACTCTAAGTCTATAATATACTCATAATAAGTATATTATACAACTAGAAGCTCTTAAGTTTTTAAAACATAAGGAAACAAAAGCTAAGAAGCAAAAATCAAAAATGTCTTACAATCAAAACTTTAAGTTTTCTTCTCTGCTAATACTTTTGCTCTTTATCTCAATGAACCCTGATACATGTAACTGAAATTAGCCTCCCTCAAAGGAGAGCTCATGACTAACAAACCATATGTAATAACTTCAATACTATATTTACTTTTTCCAGGGCGCTTTCAAATATATCTCACTGAACCAGAGCCAACTGTAATCATAGAAACTTAAAGCTGGAAGGGGCCTTGGAGGTCATTTCCACAACCACCCCATGTCACCAACCGAGTGGTATCCAAACACCTTTAGTGGTTGGGAGGTATGGGTCTAAAATGCTTCTTTTAAAAATCTCCCCCTGCTCTAACCACCTGTCGGTTACTCAGTCTCCTGCCACCTTAATGATCCCAATCAGGTAAACCAAATCCACCAAGTCATCCCACCACCAAGCAACAGTCTTGACTTCTCAAGTCCACTTCTACTCCCTTTTCTCTGAGCCTCTCCCCCAGTCTTCCCCAGTCACCCACAAAAAACACAGCCAGGACCTCTAAGATTCTGATCACTCAGAGATCCCCTTGGTTCCATTCCTGACAATCAATCCCCTTCCTCTATATGGTCTATATGCTGTCCTGTGCAAGGCCACAAGCACCCCTTGTTGTGAATGAATGTACCTTTGGCCTCCAGAATCATCTCCCTTTCCTTTCTCACCTTCTCTTTACTTCTCAGAGCTGTCCCTTCATTCCTTTCCATCTCAATGTCTCTTTCCTCCTAGTGATTCAAGGACCACTGGTAATTGAATACATCCGTTGTTAAATGCCTATTAAACAGGTAAAGGGGACATACATCCTCAAGGAGCTCACTCTCAAAGAACTTACACGTTTAGAAGGAGGCAGAAACAGAGAATCATCTACCCCATAAGACTCAGTTCCTTTGGGAACCCTTCCCTAGCCCAAACTAAATTGGCCCCCTCTTTTCAGTGCCATCATTATACCTCTGATGCAGTGACTAGTCTTCCTTGTGTGTCTCCCACCACTAGGCTGTGGGCTCTTCAATGGGAGGACCCCTATGTCCCTAGCACTTAGCCCAGGACTCAGCACAAAGATGATATGTAATGTTTGTTAAATGAGTGAATGGATGAATTCCGGTATATAATCATTCATTCATCCATTCAGTGCCCAAAACTTTACTGACTACACATTATGTACAAAGTCCTAGAGTGTAAGTATAAATAAAATAGTTCTTACATAAAAATAACGCTCTAATACTAGTAGATTAGCACTCTTCCCCGGTCCGCGTCCCCAACCCCCACCCCCAAACCTAGCCTCCACTCTCCCACAGCGAAAGCCCTTACAGAAGTCCACGCCCCTCCAACTCAAGCTACCTCTCAGCCCTTCAGTCCTACCCTAGGACCCCCAGCTAATAATCTCAAATCTTAACGCCCCCATCCTCTCTGGCTTCTCTCCCTATCTTCCATCTCCACCCTTGAGGTTACTGCAAGTCTTCTACCCCCACGTCCACCTCCGAGTCCCCGAGTCCCCGAGTCCCCGAGTCCAGGGTACCTCTGATTTCCCTCTCCGCGCACCCGCCCCCCAGTTCGCTCCTTCCCTCTCAGGGTCCCGCCTCCCCTAGGACCCTACTCCCGATACCTCTCCTCCCCTCCCTTCAGTTTCAGGCTGAGCCTCTTCCCTCCTTTACTCTGAACTCTTCTTACCTCATCTAGCTCCCGTTCCCCGGCAGGACCTCCTCCAACCTCCACCTCCACCACTGCCGCCATCTTCACAACTCTCCCCCTCCCCCGTCCCCGCGCGAGCCAGCTGCTTCCGCCGCTCAAGTGCTCCTAACCAATCGGCGGCTCGAGCTCCAGCAGGGGGCGGGGCATCAAGGCAGGCGGAGCTCCGAGAGGGACTAAGAGACCGTCTACCTGGTACTCCTTAAAGGTCAGGGAGAGGGGGTTTCCATGCACTTCCAAGCTTCGGTGGAGGAGGGTTCTTGGAGAATGAGAAACTGGACTTGTATTATTTTTAGTGAAAATATTTCACCAATTTTCCCCTTTGGACAGCCAAAAAGAAGAGGCTCTAAACCGTCAACTTTCGCGACGCTCCCTCACTCTGAGCTGCAAGGAGTGAAGCGTGGAGGCTGAGGACTACGTTCCCCAGAATGCATTGACTCTGACCCGGAAGTTTAAGTTCCGCGCTCTGGACAGATTTGTAGTGAGTGAAAATTTGCATAAAATATACATTTCAAAAAATAGACATAAAACATACATAGATACACACGAATGTATTTCGCTGATTATAGCACATGTCTTCCTGCCTCGATGGGAGTCATCTTTCAGAAACAGCGGCTTCTTGAGGCCACTGAACAAATTCCCGGACTTGGGGAGGCGTAAAGAGTCGTGCTTCGGGTCAGAAGGCGGAGGTCAGAGGGCAGAATTGGCGGGAGAATGGGTTTGTGGTCCACGATCTGAGGTAGCGGTGGCTCTTCGAGGTCCGTTGTCCCGGGTGAGGGGCTTGGGGGGTTGTTGATGGGGAAGGGAGTTGCCGAGAATGGGTGGCCATCAAGGAATGCACAGAACAGCGCGTTCCGGGGCGCGGGGGAAGTGGCTGCGCCGCTTAGCCTCTTGAAGCTGAGAGAAGAGCCTTGCGGGACCTCCGCGGCCCCCAAACTGCTTCTTGCGCTCTCACGCCTTAAGGTCGCTTTACAGATCTCCGTACTCTTTCCTACCACACATCGTGCGTCCGCAGCTCCTATCTTTACCCCCACCCATACACCTTATTCTCTGTGCTGTACCCCAACTTAAAGCTACCTAACTCATTTCCAACCCCTCGTTATCTGTGCATCCGGACCCAACACCTTACAAACCTATGGCCCCTGCGCACTTACCCCCTGGGCGTCCCAGCTGGATCTGTGGGGTGAATAGTGCTAGGATGACCAGTGGACTCACAATAGAGTGCGTGTCCACTTTATTTTAGGACCAACAGGAACCATCTACAGGCATCTTATTTACTTAAAATGGGAATTATTTTTATTATGCAAAAGAATGCAGAGAATATTATAAATACCTTATAACACAACCACCCCACATTGACTGTTGACATCATGATCTATTTGTGTCCTCATTTTTTAAAAAGATAAAATAATACGGATAAAGGTTGAACTTATTTGTGTCTTCTTTTCTCAGACCCATTACTCTTAAATCTTTCCCAGACACAACTATTATCATAGTTAACTGGATATTCTCCCAGTCCATTGAGAAAAATTCTGGGTAATCACAATGTAATTGTATTATTTCATTTTGTTTTTTGATGAAAATAAGTGCTATTTTCTATATCATTCTGTAACTTATTCTTTCACTATATTTTTTGAGGACTGTCCATGTTTATGTATATTTACATCTAATTCGTTTCTTTTAACTCTTAGGTAGTGTTCCATTATATTATATATATAGTATTTTACTATTCCATCTATCCATTCTTCAACTAATGGACATTAGAATTTTATGTTTTTTGCTATTAGAAATATTGTATGTGTCTGTACACATATGAGTCCCTCTAGAGCTGCACTGTTCAAATAAGTTAACTACAAGCCAAACATATGTGGCTGTTCTTGAAATGTAGCTAGTCAGAATTAAGATGGGATGGAAGTGTTTATGAGAGGGCCAATCCTTTACATTGTAGACTTTTTAATTTTTTAAATTTTTTCTGGTCTTAGAGGAAAAGTATATGCAATTTCCTTATTACCAGGAAGTATGAGGATTTTTGGTTATTCAGGTCTTATGTGAATTGTATTGCTGTCTTCTTTCCCATGTTATTGCCAATCCTTTACATTGTAGACTTTTTAATTTTTTAATTTTTTCTGGTCTTAGAGGAAAAGTATATGCAATTTCCTTATTACCAGGAAGTATGAGGATTTTTGGTCATTCAGGTGTTATGTGAATTGTATTTCTATCTTCTTTCCAGTTTTCTATTGGACTGTTTGCCCTTTTCGTACCGATTTGTAATACTTAAAAATATATATTCTGAATACTATCCAAGTTTTTATGTGTTGCAGATACCTTCTTCGAGTCAGTCATTTCTATTTTAACTTTGTTTTTGTTACCTTAAAGTGTTTTTCATGTTTCCATCTTTAATCCATTTGAGTATAATTTTTTAAATATGTTATGAGATAGGGATCTACTTTTATTTTTCTTCACAAGTGGGCCAATTTTTTGAACACCACATATTCCTTCATCTTTTTTTTGACAGACTCATGATTCTGTTCTATCTTACAATCAAAAGATGGTAAATTCCTATTTATTTGAGTCTGTTTCTGGAATCTGTTTGATCTGTCTTTTTAGAGTTGTAGCAATTTGTGGCCCTTTATTGGTTGATGAGTTTGTCATGTTTGCCAGAAACTTCTGCTGAAATTCTGATTGGCATTATATTGACTTAATAAACTACTCTTTTCAATGGCTCTTTATGCCTGCCGTGTTTCAGCACCTCCCATAGGTAGTGCCAAAATTGGGATATGATGAACATGACAAAAATTCACATCCTCAAAGTGCTCACTACTTACTGGGGAGACACACAGAGTAAACATGCCATTGCCAAAAAAAAAAAAAGAATGACAGTATATACAAGTGCAAGGAGGTTGGAAACTTAATCTTGGAGAACAGCAAGCAATTTGATAGACTATGATCTTCCTGAAAATGATTGTATATATCTTATTCATCATTGTGTATCCAGTACCAGTACAGGGCCTGGTACCTACTAGACACCCCCAAAATATTAACTAAATAAAATATCCAAGATTGACAGCTTCAGGGTCTCCAAGCCTAGAGTATAGTTTGGGGCTGGCCAAGTCAGTCATCTGTATGTTAGTGATGAGAAATGGTGGAGTTTTTACATCAGATCACAAATGGGATACTGGGAGTTTCTCCAAAACAGAGACCATATCATTTATTTTTATATATCCAATATATCTCTGTATGCAGAGAGTAGGAAAAATTGCTGAAGTTCAGTGAGTTCCTGTTGTGGGAATTATCAACTCTAATTAATCTGAAGGCCTGGAGAGGTGACTCAGGATTCATCTTGCATTCTTCTCTCTTTGAAGCCATGGCACCATATTGAATGTGACCTGTGAGGAGTACTTGACCTTTGGATAACCTTTACTAACTTACCACTGTCACAGCAGTCTGCCCCACTATAAGCACTCCATGACTGCTGGCCCATTGCAGCTCCATTTTTATGGTCATTCATTCAGCAGACATTTGCTAATCTGTTTCTCCCTCTTACATTGAGGATACAGAATTGAATTAGACATGAAGCCTGTCCTCCAAGAGCCTACAGTTGGTCAAGGAACATAAGACATATACCCAGACAATTGTAACACAGAATCAAGAGGATGGAACTATCACTTGAGCTGGTTGAGGTGGAGGTGATATTTTGAGCATCAAAGATGCATTCTATTTGACAAATGCAAAAGGGAAAGAGCATTCCAACCAGAGGTGATGGCATGAAGAAAGGCTTGGAGATGGGGGGAAGGGGGAATTGGGGGTTGAGGGAGTGGGGAAAGAGGCAAGAAGACCAAATATTATGGCCAAGACTTTTTCCGGGGTCATGGACTCATTCTCAGGGGCCAGGTGGGTAACGAACATGGGTAAAAAAGGGCAGGGTATAAATATTTGGAGAGAGATCCTACTAAAGGCATTCAGACAACTTTAAAACACCTCTAGCCAAGGAATTGTTGAAGCTAGGTGTTGGATGGGTAAGAGTCCATTATACTAACGTGTGGTTTTCGCATATATTTAAAATGTTTCATAAAAAGTTTGGCAAAAGACAAAGTACAAATATCCATAATGAACTTTAATATAAAATAAAACAGTGAGAGGCAAAACACATCCTCTGATGGAAGGAATAGGAGCAGATAAAGCAGAAAATGTAGAGCTCTACATTGTAGATGCTTTGAGGGGCCAAGCTGCATTAATATTTATCAAGTACCTACCATGTAAAAAGGGATTTGAATACATCAAACCATTGAAGGTTCCTAATAAGGGAGTAACAATGAAAAACAAGTTTAAGAAGATTGATTTTAAAAGGAAGACAAAAACCGATAGACCTGTATATATAGTTGAACATTTGTTGCATCTTTGCTATGTGCTAGGCTCTAAGGGTATAAAGGTGAATGACTTAAGGCATAATTCATGCCCTTGGGAGCTCACCTACATATAAACTAAACATTACCATGCTAACATATTTTGTACTTGCCGCTCTGTTGCCCTGTGGTTGCATTCCAGTCGTTTCACATTTATTGGAATCTCACCCCCTGGTCCAGATCTGTTCCCTGCCCACTGCCCCCACAAGCCCATCATGGGCACCAGAAACAGTCTGACTGACTGCTGCCAAAATTACCAGAGAACCAGCCATGGCTAGTTTGTTTTTCTTTTGTTTTCTTCTTCAGGAGTAACATGAGGGTTCTTTCTCTGCTGGAACTGACGAGACCAAAACATAGGTAGTGCCAAAAGTGGTGACAGAAGAAATCCTGGGGGAAAGTATTTTTGCCTTGTACTTGGGACAACTGCTGGGCCCACCATGGCTCCTGTAAAGATTAGCCACGTGGTATCATTTTCCTCTCAGGTACGTTAATTAGCAGGCATGATTTTTTTCTTGGTGACTGAGAGGAGTGACAAAAATAGGAGATTTGGCTGCACTTTCAGGAAACTCCCAGTTTAATAGAAGAGACATATCACTTCTTTGGGGATCCAAAGTCAAAGGAGGACACACAGCTCTTGCCCTCAGGTTATTCCCAGAGCAATGCAGGATGCATAAAAGTAGTATTCCCAGGAATTAAAGGTAAAGAAGAAAACAACCTCAGGATTCCATCCTTAGTTTAAAGGGAACTATCAAAACCATAGACCCAAAGTCTGTACCAGGGTCCGTAGAAGGGCTATTTAGTTACTCTGTCATTGAGGGCAGACCAGGATGCTCAAGGTCATCCCTGATGTGTGAGAATATCACCTCTGCCATCAAAGGTGATCTCAGGGACACCTGGGTGGCTCAGTCGGTTAAGCATCTGCCATCGGCTCAGGTCACAATCCCAGGGTCCTGGGATCGAGTCCCGTATCAGGCTCCC